GCATACTGAGAGTTCTATACATGTATTTTCTAAATTTTAGCTATTTATGAGATTGTTCTAAGATAATTATTAGACCTTGTTAATTATAAAGACCTGCAATATAATTGGCTAGTTACTATTTGAATTTTGTATTTCTATGACAACTTGTATTTAGATTGAATGACCTAAAAGATAGAAACCTCTCATTTTTGCATATCTAAATTACAATTCAGAGCTAATATTTGTAACCAACACAAAGGCACCAGGGGAATTATTTTTCTTCATGTCACTGCTATATCCTTTGACATACAGAAATCATCTCCGGAGAATCGAGCCTCATTACAGGAACTCATACTGTCAAGCAGCCAGCATGCACCAGAATGCTCCCAAGGTTGATTACTGGGAGAATTTTGTGTTTCTTCTTTTTATCAGATGGAGGTGCAACAAGTGTCCTGACAGGGCAGTCCTGGAACTCACTTCAGGTCGCTATTCATTCTTTATTATCAGTATCCATTCATTCACCAGAAGAATCACAGCCTTGATCATTTCCCACTGGTGAAGGCCTTCACAATTTTCCCTTTACAATGAAAAAACAGTCTCTGGCTCTTGAATAGTCATAAACAAGGAGAACGAGAAGTTCATTAAAGAAGGGAACTACGATTTTCAGTTTCAAGGAATTCAGTGATTCCCTAAATGCCAAAAATTACTGAGAAGGGTGTGTTCATATCCAAGTGTTAATAATCAGGAAAAATCTCCCGGACTTTCAATTAGAAGCTCGTGACTTTTTATCCCCCACACCAAATCTTCCTTCATGGAGCTATGATGATGCAATTATTTGGGATCAATCCCTCCATGCCTCAAATGTGTATCTCCGTGATTCACTCTCCTTTCCCTAATTCAAAACACCTTTAATCATCACTTATTCTTAATACAAATATTTAATTTAGTCTGAATTATACATTATATTTTCAAGTTCTCTTTTATATGTTTCCTGAATCACCAAAAGTAGTAGAAGAATTTGTCAAAGTGCCTTTATTGAAGGTCTATTGTGTGATAAATTTATTCTCTAATAATAAGGGAAGGTGGAGGTAAGGATCTCACAGCTGAGTTAGAGAAGTGAATACACCTCTTGTACTAAAGGAGTTTAGATCCATGTATCCTATTCCAAGAAGCACCAGGCAGAAAGAAGCTTATATTGTCCAGTACTTCTTTAATTGACAGTCAGTGATGTGGACTCTCAGTGGCAGGATATCTTTGAAGACAATTTTAATAGATTTTTCAAAATCTCTAAGTTTTTCTATATTTAATATTGTATCTCATTTCAATGTCAAGACAGGTTTTTGAGACCTCAAGTTGTTGAGTAAGAGAAGTCTGGCTTACTATATTCTAAATTCCATTTTAACAAATAAGCTGGTTATTGTGTTTGCTAATCCCTATTCCACCCAGCACCCATTCTCCACATTTCTCTGCCCTGCTCTGGCCTCTCTGATCTTCGCATCTGAACTCCTTTGCATGCAGCCTTACATTGGGTCAAGCCAATGTGAGGCTCTGCTGGAGATCAGAACATGGAAAGAGAGAGATCCAGCTATTCACAGCCCCCACCCCCTTACCAAGGTTCTGGAGTTGGCTGCTTTCCTCTGCAGCCACAGTTCCTGTCTAGTCTTGCAGGCCCACTGCTAGCTCCGTCTCTGACCAGGTCGCTAGTAGATGTGGTTCCTTACCTTATCCCTTTCTACTAGGGGTGGAGAGAACTGACCACCGTGGCTACATTCGTTGGTGCTTCGTCAACCCTTCTTGCATCTCTTGACCCTCCAACGCCTCTATAAACGGTCTCTTCCTTTAAGCGTCTATAGTTAAATCATTTTGATTGTGCCATCTGTTTCATATCAGGCCCTGACTGATGCAGCAATTAGGACTTGCTTTTAGCCAGTAAATATATTGGTTTCTTACATAGCATTGTGCTGATGGTGATACCTTCAACCTTCCTCTCTTTCCTCCTTATTGACTATGTCTTATTTATCTTTGCATTTCTAAGTTTAGATCAA